CGGACCGGGTCGCCAGCCAGTCGCACACATAGACAAAAAAACATCTGTGCTCACACTCACATCCAAGGACATTTTAGAGTGTTCCATTAACCTGCAACACATGTTTTTGGAATGTGGGAGGAACCGGAGTACCCGGAGAAAACCCATATAGGCACGGGGAGAACATGCAAACGCCGCACAGAAAGGCCGGAGCCGGAATTGAACCCTACATCTCTGCACTACTCTATAAGGCCAACCCGCTCACCAATCGACACCGTGCCGCCTTTTAAAGAATCCATTGATGAAAAATATGTTTTCAAGATTATTTTACTGAGCTTCACGAAATAAAAAGGTCCGGAAATGACTGATTATTGAGTATTTTCCTAAAAATGTGTAATATTTCATAATTACATTCGTGAGTTTTCCATTTTTGAATGACACGTTGAGTGTTTTCACTGAGCTTCGTATCAATTGCATGACGTCGCCCAACCAAGCAGAGCATCCTGACACTGCTGCTGAGCAGCGAGGCGACCCCCAAAAGGGGCGTGCTCGTGCCCGTGCCGGGCCACAGCACCGTCCCCTTGTCCGTAGCGGCCTTGGGGGGCGTGGCCGCCCCCTACTTCCTGGACGAGGAGCGCGGCTGGGAGCTGCGGGCGGACGAGCTGCGGCGAGCGTTGGCGTCCGCCCGGGGTGTGTGCAGGCCCGTCGCTTTGTACGTCATCAACCCGGGAAACCCCACAGGTGCCAAGGACGCAAGCACGACGGCCAACTGTGTCGTTGCCGTTGACATTCCCGCTCTTGGTGCTCCTCAGGGCACGTCCAGAGTCGGAAGTCCATGGAAGAGGTCATCAGGTTCGTGGCGGAGAACAACCTCTTCCTTCTTGCCGATGAGGTGAGGGGTTTTAGGTTTCATGCAGAAAATAATAACAAATAATACTGGTGAACAACAATTTTTAATCAGAGATGGCTTTATGTGTCCTGAAATTGACATTTGTGAGGCTGGTTTCAAAACTGTTTTTCGAGTACATTTGATTTTTGAGATCTGTTCATTTTGTATATTTTTCTGTTCATTTTGAGCAGTACAGATTTTACCATGCATAATTTATAGCGATAACGTTTCAGAAAAAAAAATCACCTGACCTAACAATCACTCATTTTTAAATATTACATATATTATTATTGTCCATACATCCATCCATTTTCCGATCCACTTTATCCTCACAAGGGTAGCGGGGGGTGCTGGAGCCTCACCCAGCTGTCTTTGGGCAGTAGGCAGGGGACACCCTGAACCGGTTGCCAGCCAATCGCAGGGCACACAGAGACGAACAGCCATCCGCGCGCAAACTCATACCTCGGGACAATTAGAGTGTTCCGTTAACCTGCAACACATGTTTTTGGAATGGGGGAGGAAACCGGAGTACCTGGAGAAAATCCACACACCACACTGGAAGGCCGGAGCCGGGACCGAACCTGCGACCTCTGCACTGTGAGGTCGACGCGCTAACCACTGGATCACCGGGCGCCCTATATTATTATTATTATTATTATGAAAACCTGATTTGCTAGAGAAAATACAAGGGCTGATTCGGCATTGGTGTGAAAAAAAAGTAGCGTTTTTGATTTAAAAAAAAAAGCTGTTGACAAGTGCAATTTTTCAAAACACAGGAAAATCCCATCCCAAGGTCAAACACAATGCATTGCTCAAACACCAATTTCTTCCCCCTGTCCATCCGTGTTGCCCATATTTGGAAAAACTTCCCTCAAATGTCAAATTCAAAGTGTCATGACACAAGAGCTCACCAATGTCATGACTTATCACCAACAGTGTGTTTTTTTTCTTTGGCTTTTTTGTGGGGTTTTCAATGAGATCACCACACAAGCGTGTCGGTGAAAATGTATCGCTAACCATAGAGTGGTCCGCATATGTACAGTAGCTGTCAGTGAAGTGCAAATACGCGGTAATTTTCGCTGAAAACTGGCGATATGCAAATGAGTTGAGTATTGTCATACCCACAGGTGTACCAGGGCAGCGTTTACGACGCCAACAGTGAGTTTGTGTCTTACAAGAAGCGCCTCTATGAGTTGGGGCCTCCTTTGGCCCACACGCTGGAGCTGGCCTCCTTCCACTCGGCATCCAAAGGCCTCCTTGGAGAGTAAGTCGTGGATCACGTGATACGCACGAAGCCTCCCGATTGGCCCGCGTAGTCACTTTGTGGTTTTCCTCTCAGGTGCGGTCTTCGAGGAGGATACGTGGAGCTGCTCAACATGGACCCCGTCGTCATGCCGTACGTCGAGCGTCTGTTCCATTTGATCCCCTCTCCACCCGTCACCGGGCAAATCGCTTTGGAGCTGATGGTGGAGCCCCCCCAGCCGGGAGATCCGTCATACCCGCTTTACATGCACGTGAGTCCAAAAGTTCACAGGAACAGATCTTCTGATATTCAGTCAGCCGCTCCCAGTATGCTGGATGGATCATTCCCGTTTCCACAGGAGACGGAGCACACGAGGCGCACGCTGGTTGACAACGTAAAGAGAGTGCTGCAGGTTCTCAACCGGCTGCCCGCAATCAGCTGCCAGCCCGTGCGGGGGGGAGCCTTTGCCTTCCCCAGGTTGCATCTGACGACGAAAGCCATTCGCAAAGCCAAGGTCACATCCCCTCGTGCAACTCACTTTTTACGCAGGCGCGACTTTGAGGGCAGGTTTTCCAGCACCCTTCACCAAAATGATTCATACAGTAGATGGGAAACTATTTGAATTGGGGCACAGTTATCACACGGGCTAAAATAAAAGCCTGTCAGATTTCAAATTGATTTTGTGGGGGCACAGAGGATCATTTTTATTTTTGAAATATTGATCAAGACAAAATCCGTGAGGAAGGGCATCTGCTGGAGTACCACCAGGGTTCTGCCTGTGCACATGCACCCCCCAGAGTTTACAACCATTCCGACGTGCCAGTTACCTTCACTCTTTGAGCGCCATTGACATGAAATGCTTTCAATAGGAATTTAACGAGGAGCACTGTTGACATCAGTTGCTGTCAACTTTTTTTTTTTTTTAAACAAATGAGTCAGGAAAGTCTTGGCCAACTGGATTTGATCATTCAGCCACAAAAGTAAAAATCTCTTGGATGAAATCACCATGCGTCACAACAATGTATCAGCTTCTAAATCAGGAGTGTGTTTGTCACATCAAATCTAAAATTAAATCTTGGTGTCACGTAGAGAAAAAAATGTCAACAGTCAACATTAAATAACAAACTCATATAACAGAACACATAAGACATGGACACTCATGCAATCGTAACCACAATTCCTGCATACACCTTGTTTGAAACAGTTATAGATGAAAGAGGAGAGAATCCAAGTGTCCTTTCACCAGTGGATCCAAGACGTCATGCTCAAAACGTTTATGACATCCCACACATCCGCTACACGCTGAGAATGAAAGTAAACAAGAACCTGTAGTATATATTGACGAAAAAGAGATTGGTTCGGTTCACTTCTCCTGTCCCAACGGAAAATATGCTTCACTTCCAAGCGCCGACTCTCAGTTCCAAATACGCATCTGCGCTCCACACTGACACTCCTCTCTCCTCATTCTCAGTTCCAGCAGCGCCGACATCTCCAGTGAACAAAACAAAGATGTGAAAAATGCTGCCCATTACAGGCACTAAAAACACAAGCAACCCCGGGGGCTGTTGAATGTCGACATTCCCCCCATCAAAATCAGTGCCGTGATGGAGAGAAGGAGCAACCACCAAGCACATATTATTCTTCTTCGGCAAATGTCGCAGTCAAAACGCTGAAAACAGTCTACAACAAACACCATATGACAGAACAAAATAAAAAAAAACAACCAAAAAACAGAGCACTTCCAAGAGCTCTTGCAGACGGCTGGCAACTACGGCGCCATCTTGGATGTAGCTACAGACATATGCATGCACACACACTACTAAATATGACTACTACTCAACAGCATACAAGTACAAATAGTTTTGTGAAGGCTTTCAAATGTACAATCGATACACCAGTGACCTTTATGAAAAACATTCTTTTGCCATTAAAAGCATATTTTCATTGTTGTTGGTATTTTATAGAAGGAAAAATTTTCAGATGCTTGAATAGTCACGAAAACAAAAATTATTAGCATGAAAGTTTTGGGACGTAAAATGTATCTCTTCACAAACAGCTTGTTTTTGGGGGACATTTTTTGGGGTCCAAAATAGGTGATTTGGATGGAAGTGAATCATGTTTTACTGCTGATTACAGAAAAATGTAAAGATAGAAAACTTTTCTGGGGCTGATGAAAGAATAGTCCAATCTTTAATTTGGTCGTTTCTGGGTTTCCATATTCATAACACACAATATTATTTGAACCTTGAAAGATCAGTCAGAATGCTCTAATTGGGCTAGCATTCAATATTCATTTTTTTTTAAGAGTTAAGACCATCACTCACAGACACATTTTAGGATGAGACAAACCAAAATTTACTTGGTTGTGCACTCACCAGGTGGGCAGGCCCTCCAGTGTATATATTTGTGTGTAGATCTATCTATCTATGTAGTGTGTATATATATATATATATATTTGTATATAAGACATTAAAATATCCCCTTTAATACTGTCATGTTTTAGGACGCGGGCATGCAACCTGACATGTTCTACTGCACCAAACTGTTGGAGGACACCGGCGTGTTTGTTAGTCCAGGCTGCGAGTACGGACAAAAGGAAGGAACCTACCACATCAGGTTCGGATTTTTGCCCAAGCACCACTTGGTGTAAAGTTTGTGCTGGTATCACTTTATTTCATTATTTGTTTGAAGAAATTATCACCTTTTTGGTGTCCTCAATGATCCAGGGGAAAAAAACAAAAACAAAAACTCTTTGCATCGGCGCAAAACAAAATGTTATGCATCTTATCAGTCCCCAACACAATTTACCAAAAGTCACCTTCTGGAAAATAAACAAAAATGCCTCTTTGACACTAATTTTACAGATCAACACGATATTGTGTGGGTGTCTATCATAACACGACTCATGAAAAAGTCTGGTAATGCATGGCTGAACATGAAAAAGAAGTTAAATCCTCAGGCTCCTACTTTGAACTCCATCTAATACCTTTGATTATTAATGTCTTGCCACTTTATTTTGTTGTGCAGGTTTTGCATTATGACTCCGACTGACACCATGGAGGAACTTCTGAGACGCCTGAGTGCCTTTCACTTAAAGTTCATGAAGGACTTGTCGTAAATGTTTCCCACCAATCCTCTTGGAACCTAACGAGGTCGGATAACCCTGTAAAAGCATCATTTTTATACTAATGACAATAAGGTTAATTTTGATCGATCTTGTCAACGTATTCATTTCGTCTGAAGTGTAAAAATAAGATGACCACTGTATAATAATAAAAGAAAGTAAAAACACTCACAATTTGAATAATTTACACCATCAGAGGTAAGTATAAAATGAGTTAACTGCGCTATATCAATAGGTGAATTCATTTGGCAATATGGGCACATGAGAAAAGGTCACACTATAAAAAATAAAATCTGTAGTAAAGCACGATAAAAGTCAGAATAACTAGCAACACACTTGCCATCACTGCTACGCTCTGTCAAAGAAAAAGCAAAACTCTTGCAATATGATGGACAGTTACTTTTTTTTATTTTAGCGGACCTTCAAATTGTACTACTTTTGGAACATTCAATTGTATTTCAGACAGTAACATTTATAGAGACAAAACAAAAAAAAAAACATTTGACTTTTCTAAAGTCATTTAATACATTAGGCTTCACAACCCAAATGAATGGATTTCTTCATGAGTTCATTAGGTGGCCATCCAAAAAAGGGAATTCAACAAAACATAAATAACTGCAGTATAGTTCACAAGTGCTGTGTGTTCATGATGATCAGTCTACCTCACTGTCATCTGGAGTCCACTGGTTGCCATTGCCATCTGTGCCATTAAGCAGCTCCACCAGCAGCGCGATGAGCTCGGCATCCTGGCCAGAGTACGCGGATGCGCCGGGGGTGGGCTGCCTGAGATTGCGGCGCAGCATGGCTTGGATGGACGTGCGCAAATCCCACAGTAGTTCCCACGCGCCGGCCGACAGTTGGCAGCGCACCAGCGAGCAGCCCGAGAGCACCACCTCCATGTTGTCTCCGCGCACTGAAAACACATGCAGGTGGAGATTTTTTGCTCCAGGCAAAGAAATAATTTTCAACTAAATATTTAAGAAGCCATTAAAATAAATAAATAAATAAATAAATAAATAATATATATATATATATATATATATATATAATATAATATATAAACCAGAAAATAATTTACCGGTACAACTAATAAACTCAAATAAATAATAAATCAATACAAAGAATTTAACATACGTATCGAAAAAAAATTACTGCAATATGTATACTGTATATATTTTTCAATAAGAAATTGAACAAAAAGAAACTCCACAAAATAAATAAATGATTTACCCCCCAAATGATCTTCTCCAAATCATTTTCAACTGAAATGGGCTCAGAAAAAAAAGGGGGGGGGGGAAATGACTGACCCACCTTCCCAAAAACACATTTGAATTAAAACAAAACAAAAATAGGTTTGTTGGGTCATTTAATCACAGAAAAAAAAAACATGTAAAAAATATTGCTTACAAAAATTGTCCCCCCCCAAAAAAAAAACAATTTTGAATCGAGTACCAACAATTTATCCTTTTTTTTTTAAAAAAGTTGCACAACTATTACCATGAAATAATGTACCATTACATTAAATAAATAAATACAATGTAACCCCCCCCCCAAAAAAATGTCTCTTCCAAAAACTCAACACAAGAGTATAATTTAACAATTTTAATATTTCATATCGACGAAAGCAAAATAAATAAATAAAAACGTACCTGTTTCCGTGATGTCACAGTCTGTGAGCAAGAGCAGGGCAAGCGGATGGACAGCTGATGAGTCGCGGATGAAGACTGAGCCATTGGACTTGAGGGCGCCGAAGAAGGTGAGCCATCGGCTTGGAAGTTCGTCGTTTCCTCTGCAAATCACAAAAACAAACAAAAAAAAAAAAAAAACAACCAAAAGTCAGGAAATCAACGAGAAACACGCACGTTTAAAAAATGTGTTGCACCTGTTAACGGTGGAGCGATGGAGGACGACGGCACCGCCCAGTGTGCGGAAAGACAGGCTGTTGGGACGAAAGCGCCCTCCTTTGGTCACAATGCCTCTCTTAACCTTGATGGAAAACAAAATATTTTTGAGCAAAGTCACCGAATCTGCATGCAGACCTCAATCTGCTACAAAACCAGACTGCGCATGATGGCCACCCTGTTGGATCAACATTTCACTCTGCCTTCAGAGATAAAACAATTCAAGAAATACTTCAGGTCGAATTGAACCCCTAATTCAAATTTTATAAAGAAAGTGAAAAAAAAAGAAAACTGAATGAATGAAAATGTTACGTTTTTCAGTTGGGAATATTTTGTAACAAAAAATGCATAGTTATTTTATTGAAAAAAAATGCAGTTTTAGGTTTGAGTACTTTAATTATTTAGGTGGGGTTGAAAAATTATACATGTTGAAATAGATTTTTATATTTTTAGGAAAAAACAGAAAAAAAATTACCATTGTTAAGTTTTAGCTTAAAAAAAAAATCACCTTCTTTTAACCTCAATATCACAAAACGGAATTTCAACAACAATCATGTCACTAAAATCAAGAAGCATTTGTCAAATTGCTGGTGTAGGATCAAAACCATGTCTAAATTTGGTGTTTTTAAGCTTTTTTCCCCTCACATCTACACTGCCAGTCAGTAGTGTGTTGAAAATGCTTGCTCTCTTTGGTGATGCAATCGCCAACGGTTGAATCAACATGTCACATGTAGCCATGTAAGCCAAACCACCTGCTGCTTTTGCATTAGCTTTTTTTTTTTTTTAAAGTGGGTGCAAATGTGCACAAACAGTTTGTTTGACCAGGGGCTCAATCTTGCATCACACTTTTAAAATCCCTCTCACGAATCTGATGATGATGTAGTAAGGCCTTTGAATTTGCACGGACCTGGATGAGGTTGGGATAGAGTCCCGCCAGCAGAACGGCCTTGAGCAACTGCTCCTGCTCACTGTGCTGGTTGACCAGCGACGAGCTCCGTTGGCACTCGAGGGCACGGGACACCAGTTGAGCCTCGCGCAGATTCTCGCTGAACTGAGAGATGAGACCTGCAGCAGTGGACAAACAAAATTGCCCGGGGACCAATCGAAGGATGCTCTTGGACAAGCTCTATTATTATTATCATTTTTTAATCGGCCTTCTTCCTGTAAGATTTACAATTCTTTAATGTCAATGATTATCCACAAAAATTCATTTTGTAATACTATTCTGATTTGGTTATATCAAAAATAACCAAATATTCTAGATTCTGTATCTTTGCAAAATAATCTGTTACTGTATAGTCAGATTTTTTTCCTCCCTCTTACAAATTCAACTTATAAATATTTCTATAATATTCACAATTTTACGTCATTGCTGTAACATATACATTTCATCTTGCAACTATTCTTTTCCACATTAAACTATGAACAAGTCTCACAATATTGTGCCTTTTGCTTTTAATAATTCAACTTTATTCACATATTCACAATTCTATAAAACTACTGATCAAAATAAGAAAAGCAATCAAACTACAGTGGTACATCTACTTACGCAACTTCTCTTCATACGAAATTTTCAAGTTACGAAACGCCTCAACAGGAAAATATTGCCTCTTGTAACGAAAGAAATTTCAAGATACGAAAGGTAAAATTAAAGTATGGGCTGCGATTGGCAAAAAACAGTGAGGACGCAGTTAAAAGTTAAATGACCATCGTTTTTATTCTTTACTCTATTGTTTGTTAGATATAATTATGCACCTCACTCATTTTTTGCGCAATAATCTAATTGTAACATGTATTTGTTTCATATGTTGATGCATTTTTATGCTTGATAAGAAAATGTATGTCTGAATTTTGGGTGGGGGCTTGGAACGGATTAGGGCATTTACATTGAAAACGGGTCTCTACTTACAAAATTTTCTAGTTCGGAAATTTCTTCCAGAACCGATTAATTTCGTAAGTAGAGGTACCACTGTAGAGTCTTACTAAATGATTGAAAGTTTTTGTTTCAAAAACTATTCTTGCAATTACGACTAGTGGGAAAAAAATGGATTCCTTTCATGTTGAACATTATTTAGTCAGAATAATCTTGACGATTTTTGAATTGATTTCTACAGTATATATTATTGATGCTGATTTAAAAAAATGTCTTCTTATCATTAAGATTATGAAAACCTGATGTGCTTGAGAAAAAAACAAGGGCAGATTCAGAATCAGCGCAAAAGAAATAACCTGGAAAAGTAACCATTTGTTGACTCATGTTATGAATGACTAAATTACCTCTTAAAAATGTTCATTTACTATTGTAAGCTTATGACTTTGTTTGCAACACTACGAGGCGATTTGTGTATCATCCTTACGATGATGAGACCGTACCATTGATGAAGCGCAGGCTGGCCTTGGACAAACTGAGTTCCTCCAAGTATTGGTCTCGATCGTGACGGTCTCCTTCCTGCTGAAGCCTCCGCCAGCCGAGCACGGCGCGACTGAACGCCAGGTAGTCGCTGCAGCTGGAGCCGCTCAGGCCGGCTTTGGTCTGACAACGGCGGCGACAGATCAGAGCGCGTGGTCGAACGCGACGTCAACTGTCGTCATCTCACCTTGGTGACCAGTGCTCGGTTCTGCAGGCTGTTGTGGAAAGGGTCTCGCGTAAGGCAGGCGGCGATCGACAACATGGGCAACGCGCAGCGGAACATGGCGCCCAGCACCAGAACTTTGCCCAGACGCGGGTCGCATGACATCGTGGCCACACGCTCTCCCAAAGGCGTCAGCGATTCCCGCTTGTCCAGGACCCCTGCATGCAAGAAACAAAATGCAGAAAAGTTGTGGTTTTAAGATCCCCCGAGCACCCCCTCCATCCGCCAATGAAAACAGATGTCTACTTTACATTCATAGCACACAGTCTCACATTTGTAATTAAAATACAACACAGCTGTAGGCTTTTGTTCTCGTGGCGTTTTCTGTTGAAAAATTATTCCCGCAATATTCATGATTCTTTAAAACTATATATATCTCGACATGATACTTTTTTACAAAATTTTATCACCGTGAGAGTCAATGTGACTAATTTTTTTCTCATTACATCTAAAAAAATAAAATAGAAATAAAAATCACATTTTCCATTCAATTTTTTTCTTCATGAAAAAAATTATTTCTTCTTGTAATACTCAAGATTCGTTAACACTGTTTTTCGAATTAAGGCTGAAATAATTCTGTTATAAATTATTTTAAACAGTGTATGTTCGTAAAAAAGAAATACATTTTTGTAAT